ACCTGCACAGAGTTGCAAACTTTGCATTTGTCACATTAACATCAAGGTCTTGCTTCTGAATGATATTGAAAAATGTTTATCAAAAATTAATTTAATTTGATAAACAAAGACCACCAAGAACCTCCGAAATCCACCGGAGTTTAATAACTGCACACATTTCTGTAGGTTTACCGTTTCGTGGCGTCAGACTGAATTTGGCTCCGTTCTTTACTCGTTTGAAGAACCTGCGTATGGGCACCTTTGGTATGTAGCCAATTTTGTAGGTGTATTGGTACCTAAAGGGTTGTTAGCATTAAAAGAAAAATGGAAAAACAGCATTAATAAACAGTTTGTGTGTTATGAATAAGTTTCTGTCTGTCCTCAATTTAATCTTTTAAGCTCACCTGTTAAAATAACATGACACAGGTAGGTTGAAGGGCACCACTCGCCTGATTGGTCTCGGTGGGTCGTAACGAAGTGTGTTTGAATAGACAACCTGGTTATCAATGATCTGCAACCAGAATTTTTATATTAACATTTAAATAAAACTTCGTCTACAGTTATGAGACAGGCTTTTATGGCTCAGCAGTGAGCTGAATGCCAACAGTGAATCACAGCAGGTGTGCACATAATCTTACTCAACATGTAATCCTAATCTTATGGCTGAAGATTTAGTCAAAAACCTAAAATTCAAATATAAATTACTGCAGTACATGAAAATGTTATGGAAACATACATTTAAACTACTTTTATTGAAATATATCTATTATTTTCTTATTTGTTCAATAGGAATATAAAATCTTACAGTAATGCTGACGTCATCGGGTGTTTTGTGTCACCTGACCAAAACTCCAAACACTCAAAAGTTTATCTGACTGTGGTGTCCTACTACAGAGCCCCTTAGTGGACAAACGAGGGTATAAATATATAAATATGTCCACATCTTTCCAGCACAGAAGATTTCTCTATGCAATCAGATGAATAGTGCAATACTTTGATTAATTTGTGTGACAGAAATAAGTGCATATACAGTGCATATACAGTGCATATAAAGTGCATATACAGACTCATTGAAGCTAGGAACAGGGGGGCAAAGACTTGTCCTCCAGCTCTCAGTAAATATTTGTGTCCTTATGTTCTGTTAATAAATTTGCATTCATTGTGACTTGTTTTGCGCATCTACTCCTGCTACATATTTAGCATTTTGTGTTTTATTTAAAGGCAGATTTATTGATTAATAAGTCACTTGTTTAAGTTGGATTTTTGGCAGATTCTGTTCTGCATGGTTCTGGGGAAAAGAAAAAAAAACCCCACAATCTCTTCCAGTATTTTTTCCCCATTTTTGTGATCTTATTAAAGATGAATACACTAAACAGCAGCACAAAATTCCTGCTCTGAACTAAAAATAATAATAATTTTACCACGCCTGTGCTGTGCCAAGCAAAAGTCAGATATTGTTGAAATAGTATAATGGATGCTTCTGTATGCAACTCCAAAGATGCACATTAAAGCTCATCTATAATTTTTCTTTTTCATATTTTCTGTGTGTGTGTGTGTGTGTGTGTGTGTGTGTGTGTGTGTGTGTGTGTGTGTGTGTAAAAATGCTATAATGAGGCCAGTGTATGTAACAGCAATCCCTGTGAGCCAAAGGTCCAGTTTAACATTCCCCCCCGACTCTTGGCTCTGTGTGACGTCATAAAGTTAGTTCCTCTGGCAGTGAGTACAGAAACCCAATCGCCTCCTGATCAAGCCTACATTTGCCAGGGGGAACCAATCAGAAGCAAGCTTTTTTAAAGTGAGGTGAGGCATCTTGCTCCAGACAGAGGGTGAACTTGGGGCTGTAGGCCCGGTAATCGGTAAAATTAAACAAATCAAGCAAAGCTACTCTAGTGAGTCTGAGTCCAAGAAATAAGTAGTACCAGGCCCAGTTTAACCTACTGGAGCAAAGCCTGGCATATAAATGACATGTTCACCGCTCTAGATGTCGTCATTGGTGTAACAGTTCTGTGTCCACTGTAACCCACTAAAGACGCAAAACAAAGCGGTCTTTTTTACTGGTTAATCATCTCGGACAAGAACAGAAAATCAGAATCAGCATTATTCCGCTTTTAATTCTCTGGGGTCCTTTCTTGCCTGAGACTCACCGTGCGCTTGGTTCCACACATACCGAGGCCATACTCAAAATAAAGGTAATCCCTCGTGGATTTGCTGGCTGTGCACGTCCCCAGCTTGAGCTGAGACCGGGCTTCACCCGTTCCCAGAAGGCTCCTCTCCACCTGGACTTGCATCTTTGTCCGCTTACACGTAGTCTTCACGGAAACATCCGAGACGCTGGGCGGAGTGGATTTGGGCGGAATAGGGAGCAGGACGTCCCGGACGCGCTCGGGCAGAGGCTCCACTCCCGTGCCCCTGAGCGGAGAGAAGTACTCCTTATCCACCAGCGGCACTTGAGAGTCCACAAACATCGGGAGGTGGAGGTACGGCGGCGGAAGGAGAGTCGGCGTTTCTCTCCGGGGAACTTTTCTCATCACCTGCGCTGTCTGCTCCGAAGGCCGATGGGCCGCTGTCCCCGCTTCAGTGGACGCAAACACGGGCAGCAAGAGAAGGAAAGGTAGGTAAAGCATGCCCGGAAATCCCAGTGACATACAACAAAGTGTCCGAAAGGGCGGAAGGTTGGCTGTCACGGCTGATGATGCTCTCCTCATGTGGAGGTAAATTAACAACACCTGGCGCAGAAGAAGCAGACGGACAGCAAAGGGCGCCACTTACTGGCTGTTTGAAGTAAAAACAACGTTTTGATGTTTTCCAGGAGGATCACCTGACCTCCCCCAGAATCAGCTGATTTTTCATAGTTAATTAAAACGCTCAATCTCTCCTACTATGGACGATTTCCCAGTTACAGGCTCTGTTAGTACAGAAGGTTGGGTTGACATTTTGTGCTTTTACATTTGCTTTATTTTTCCAGCATTTTTTTGTCTTTCAGAAGTACAGAAGAAGACAAATATATTCAGTTTTCAGGGCAGAAAACAGCATGATTTTTGTTATTGAGCATCTGGTCATGGGATCAGTATCTCATCATGAAACATATATTTTCAATGCAAAATGCCACCAATTGGTACCCTGGATGTTTAGTCTACATTTTGGTGCCAGGCTGTGACTCATCACTGTTTGTGTTCTAAAAGGAGTGAAAAGATTCACCATCTGGTGACAGATGTTCTTATCCTGACTGTTTCAATAACAGGAATCGATTCAATCTGAATAAAAAACCTTTACACTTCTACAGGTTCCATGCTTTGTAAAACCAACACATTTAACTCAATGGACCTCCAAAACACCTGCTGATATATACAAAGGACTGTTAAAGAAAGGCAGTAGTGATGTGCGATACCACTGATTTCCTTTCCGTCGAGTGGTATCGACGATACTGATCCGATACCGATACTCTGTACAAAAACTTAATGTTTCATTGCATTTCATAATACAATATATAATTGTATTATGTAGTCGTAATAATATAGCTTCATAATGATTACAGGACGTCAGACTACTTGTTCATATTGCTTAATAATGTAGAATTATCATGTAGAAATTTTAAAAAAAACGGAAGTTTTGCACTATTTGAACACGTTGCCTGCCTGCAGCACTAAAGGACTCCGCGAAATTCATCTGTCTCCCCTAGCAGCACCTGTCCTTCTCCTCCTCTTCAGTTCGCCTCAACATAAGCTCGTCATATTCTGTGATATGATTTACTCTGAGGTGTTTGACAGGTTAGTGGTGTTGCCACATGTATCGCAAACCACGTCTCGGCCGTTTGTGGAGGTAAAATACGTCCACACATGACTCCGTTCACGCTCAGCCATTGTTGTGAGTGCCCACGCCAGGGCTGCGACACATTTATACATTTATATTTTGCATATGACTGTGAAAGGCAGAAGAGGAAGTAGTTCCTTCCAATTTAGACGATCAGAATGATATAGTTTCTTTCCACTGTGTTCCTGTTAATGAAAAACTACAAATTTACCCCAAAGTACTAAAATATCGATATTTTAATATGAGAATCGATTCTAGAATATAAATTATGGTATCGGAAGAATTGATATTTCAATATCGATCCGCACACCACCAAAAGGCCAACACAGGCAGTCATATCAGTATTTTAGAATGTTTCCATCCTGCTGGTCAGAAACTTCAGGTCATGAAATAAATGCACAGAACAAAGATTTTAAAATGAAAATATCAGCAGGTGAATTCATGCCTCAGATTAACACACTGTAACTGGTTAATGCAGGTAAATTGTTACGATATAAATATATGAACTAAATGTGCAGAGGCTAAAAAAGCCTGTTTCACCGTGATTGGTTTGTATCCAGAAACACAGACATATCATAAAAATGAGCAAAAATTAATGAAGACAAAATATTATAAATGGACTCAAACCTTCAAGACCTGCATATACTGAACCACAAAAAGTTTTTTTTTAATTTTGTGAGATTTTTGGATCCAACAGAAAATTTACCAGGATATTGTTTGTTTTAAACGTTGTACTTTTTCATGTGTGTCTGTGTGAATTTGGACATTACAGGATGGCTGCTGTGTTGCGGAGGATTATTCCTCACATACCCAACGCTGTTGCTGGTCACGTGCTCGATAATGTTGTGCTGTGGACACTTCTGTGCAGAGGAGTTTTTTTTGTTTCCTGTTCTCATGCTGTCCTCCTATAGAAGCCCAGCATGAGCAGAGGTCTCTTTTTTTCCTCTTGTACTTTCCCATTGTAGTGCACACTTCAGTGTTTTTCTGTAATGCAACCGTTCTCTGACTTGTATCCCCATGTGATGTCTGTGTTGTGTGTGTAAGGTCGGGGGGCGGGTTCATTCCACTGCAGGGCAACCTGCCACTGCATGTGGCGAATACAATTTGAACTTGAACTTGAACTACACTGGTGCGCTTGCCTCATTGTTACCGATTTACTGTTAGAGTAAAAATAAATAAATATATTGTTTAAAAAAAGTTTAGTACAGCTTTTGTCCGTTAGAGGGGAAATAGGAACTCTATCTCTGCCAAACTGCTTTATATCGTTGACTATTCACCAAACGGAGTACAGAGTTAGAAGTGTGAATAATGTCCCAATCCAGTAGGGGGCAGCAGATGTAGCAGCACCATTACACAAGTGAGTGTTGCAGCATTCATTGGTGAAGGTGAAGTTGAGTCCCAGCGCGTATTTTTCACCCGTGATTCCGCACAGGGAGGGCAGGACGCAGCTCTTCTCGTACAAAACCACACGGAAGTCCCCTGAAAGAAAGAAGCAAATCACACTGACACACTCCTCCCCGAGCCGGGCGCGGACCTTTCTCGCTTCTTTTTCTCAGTTTTGATTCATTTAAATTTGACTTTCAGTGACTCGAGTTGAACTCACCTTTCTCACCCACGGCTCGGCTGGACAGACAGAGCTGCCCAGGTGGACACTTCAGGGGGAATCTGATGCAGTCCAGAGGGGAGATGGTGGGGAACACACAGGTGTAACAGAAGAGGGGAACTGAAGTACAGATGTGAGTTTTGCATGTGAGCCACAGTAAAAAAGTCAACTGAATCATAATAATCACAAAATACAAGGATGGTAAAAACGGATGTCTTTTAAACTGCTTTTAAAAATGTACTTCAAAATGATTAATCACCGAGATTAATCAGTGGTTAGAATATTTATTTGTTGCAGCCCTAATATGATGAAACACACTGCTTTATCTTTACCACTAACACGAATGTTAACCACTTCTTCTTTCAGCTGCTTCCTTTAGAGGTCACCATCTGCAGGTCCTCCTCCACTACATCACGCATCTCCTGCCTGGTATTAAACGTCCTTTCTAAAACATATCCACCATCCCTTCTCTGCGCATGTCCAAACAAACTCAGGCTCGCCTCTTCTGATATATTAGCTTCTAATCCTGTCCGGTCACTCTCAGTGAAATCCTGCCTCGTGTCGTTTTATCAGTGCCACAGTCTCCAAACCATACGTCACAGCAGGTCTCACTACCGTCTTATAAACCTTCCCTTTTACTCTCACATGTATCCTTCTGTCTCACCTCCACCCACTCCACCCTGCGTGCACTCTCTTGTGCACTGTCTGTTACCCTCAGCTATTGAAACTCTTCTATGTTAACTACCTCTGATTGCTAATGCACTTGGATATTTCTTATGGAACGGCATCATGTGACACAAAGAGCTTTTTTATATGTACAAGTAATACAAAGATCAAACATATTCATTACTAAACAAAAATATTTCTGTATTTTAAAATAATTGTATTTAGGCAGTTTTATAAGGTGTAATGGTTCCAGTTTCCCAGTTACATCTGTCTTCATCTCACATTAAAGCTACTTAAATAGTTCTTTTCCAAAAATTTCATACATCAAACAATGAGGGGAAAATACTAGATCTTAATTATGCAAGAAAATAAGGTTTTTTATATTAATGTTAACCTTGGAGTTTTCTGTCTGCTATAGCTGCATGGATTGTGCCTTTAAACACACGAGCAGAAGCATGCACACACCGTCTTTGTTGACTTACCCACAGCTGGAAGTAAACACAGGAGAAGCAGAGAGCCAAGCAGCTTCGACATCACTGATGTTTCTGTCTCACCAGGAGAAAATCCTCCTGCCGGTCGACGCTTCAGCTCTTAAAGGCGTTTCTTTCAGAATATTTTGAATCCGCTGTTTTCATCTTGAATTCAAGAAATCAAGTTGTTTTTTGTTTGTTCTTTTAATTTAAAGCTAAAGTTTTACAAACTAGCTTCACGCAGACGGAGCAGCCACAGAGATCTGAAGGTAAATCTCTTACTGGTTTCTCTTAATATTCCCTTAATCAACTCTGGGAGAATCTCCCACCCTACTCCTTATGATTAAATTAGACTGTTAGACTTCTGTTCGAAGCCATGGCTGCTTAGAAAAGGTCCATTCAGACTTAAGATAATCAACGGGGCTTTATGAAGAAAATCCACATCTGTGTAGCTTAAAATGTGGAAAAAGTGGAAAGTATTGAGCTTTCTTGAGGTTTTTTTTCTAAAGAATGATGTGACATGTGTCTGTACTGAGGTGAAGCAGGGCAGTTTTATTAAATCACATCTCATCTCCTAATGAAAGACGTTGAGTTTGGTGGGAGGGATGTCAAGTGACCTGCAGTCCCATGAAAAGTGATTAGAAGCAATGAACAGTCCCACAGTTTCAAACTGAACACAGGGTGTTTTTTCACAGTAAGATTTGTTCATAGTGTTTGCATTGAGATAATCTGCAGTATATGATTATTGTGTGTTAGATAAGATAATCGAATTACTCCATCTCTGGATACTTTTTCCTATTTCTGTTTTTCAGGCATACAAAAAGTTTTCTTTCCATTGTTGTTATTATTGTTATTTCAATAACAGATAGCCTCATTAGATCAGAATGAAAGTGTCTGTGGAGTGATACGCTGCCTTGAGAGAAACCCACAGAATTATACTGGTTTCAAACCCAGAGCTGAATTCTGTGGAGCTGCTGAAGATTTCATCCTAACAGCACAGGCGTTAAACTCTCCAGTGAGAGAAGGCAGCTCAAACAAAGCTCTTTTTTATTTCATCTCTCCTACTGTACATCACAATTTCATTGCACATGTACAATGACAATAAAGGCTATTCTATTCTATCAGGCCAGACTGCAGAATAACAGCCTGCACTATTTAGCATGTGATTCCTAAATGCTGCAGTTCTTTGAGTGTCCACTTGATGATGGCTCCAGATGCCTGTTGGTGCAAACAACAAACAGACATACCCCATGGTCTTTGATTTTGTATTTTAAGTGTCAAAGATGGTGTTTTGCTTCTCCCACCCCAACCAATCACAGCAGATGGCCGCCCCTCCCTGAGCCTGGTTCTGCTGGAGGTTTCTTCCTGTTAAAAGGGAGTTTTTCCTTCCCACTGTCACCAAAGTGCTTGCTCATAGGGGGTCATATGATTGTTGGGCTTTTCTCTGTATCTACTGTACAATATAAAGCACCTTGAGGCGACTTTTGTTGTGATTTGGCGCTATATAAATAAAATTGAATTGAATTGAATCGAACAGTGCTCATGTTTTTGGAGCCAGAAGTTGTCGTATTTAACAAGATGATGCAGTATGAGGCTATCAGCTCAGAGTTTGGTTAGAATATCCATCCACAGATCAGACGGCTCAGACACACTGGAATTTAAATCTGGAGAACAGGATTTTTGGATGGGCTGTACCAACAGAAGAGTCTGAGATTAACATGAAAAGTTATAATAATACTTCTCGGTGTAAAAAACTATCTCATCATCTGCATGATGGTGATATGCAAATGATGATCAAGTCAAAACTCTAAACTGTATGCCTGTGATCGTTGGACCCTCAGGCAGCCCTGCATTAAAAACCAACATGATTCAGTCATGGAAACAACTGCATGGACTCAGCAACATTTCCAGAAATCACAGTCTTTGAACACAGCTCTCTGCGCCATCCCCAAAAGCAGGGTAACGCACAACCATGCAAAGAACTTCTCTGGGGGAAAAGCTCGTTAAAAGGCAAAGTGGAAAATTGTTCTGTGGACAAACTGAAATCTGAAATTCTTACTGGAAAACATGGACACTGTGTCCTCCGGACTGAGGACGAGAGGGACAATCTGACTTATTATCAGAACTCAGTGCTGGAGAGGCCTGCTTGCATTCCAGACTTTTCATCAACAGAAAACCTTTGAAGCATCATGAAACAAGAAATATAACTGGTCCAGCAGCTGCTCTCCCCAGACCCTGGACATTTAGGGACTGGATATAAAAGAAGAGGGGCCACAGGACAGTGCCACACAATCTGTCCCAACTTTTTTGAGACGTGTTGCCACATCAAATTCAAAATGAGCTAATATTTCCAAAATTGTATATTTTCTAAGTTGAAACATGTAATGTTTTGGTTTGTGAATAAAATGTGTTTTTTCTGAAATTTGCAGATCACTTGTGTATTAAATATCTATGATTATGTAACACAGTTCAACTAAAACTAAACAGCTTAGGAAAAAACATAAATAAGCCAAAGAAACAAGACTGTGCATGAACATTTTACCTTAAAGTGCATTTTCAAGCTGTTCTAATGTTCTTTAACCTGTAAATAGTTCCCATCATTAACTAAATTAGCATCACAGCGCCCCTTGCTGGAGGAAAGCGGGCATGGCTCGCTTGTCGACCTGCTGACGCCTCATGCGGACCACAGCTGCGTCCACCTGAGCTGCAGCTCTCTTGCCCTGCAGGTCATCCAGCAGCTGCAGACATGTGTGCTCCAGCTTCCCCAGCTCACCCTCAGAGGACTTAAGACATCGTCTGAGCGCTGCACCGCTCTGAGAGACACACAGGAAACACATTTCAAAATGATTTTGTTTGTCTGAGGCAAAATGAGAGGTTAGAGTGATAAACCACTTTGCTTTTTTAATACAAGTGAACACCAGCCACTGTACTCCATAATGATAATGATACGAATCCTGGTAAATGTTCAGTTTGTGTTTATTTTTAGTCGTATCTGACATGCAAAGCATTATTAAGCATAATTTTAAAGACTGAGCTGAAGAGTGAGACTGTGCTTCACGCCTATCGTTCTGCTTTGAGGTCACAATTTATTTTTGCAAACCATAAAATGCATGAGGCAGAATTTAGAAACAAGTCTGAGCTTCAGTTTCTGCAGACAAACATGCCGATTCGTTTCTGCAGAGTTCAAGTGCAAGCTAACATCACCCCAGAGCATTCAGCTCACCCTGTATTTGGATTTTTTTTCTTTGTACAAATGTGTATTAAATATTTATCCATCAGTAATCAGCAAAGTTATTAAATGTTACCAGAATATAAAAAAGAAAACATGATTGGAAATATTAAAGCTGCAGATTAATTATGTTCAATTTATCACTGGTTCAGTTTGCATGTGAAAGGCACCGTCCATGTTGACACACCTGCAGCAGAGTCTGTTAGCTTAGTCGTTTCAGCACAAAAGGTCCAGCTGGCTTAGAGTACACTCCCAGCTTAGCATCACAGTGCAAACACACACATGTAACCTCAGCAGTCACAGACTCAGATACCTGACATCAGGACGAGGTAAAGGCCAAAACACACTTCATGAAGTATGATAATGAATGTGGCAGCCGAATGTGTGTCGGACGCACCTGAATGAGCTGAGCAGCTTCAGGTAACTGTGTCCCCGGGTGTCTCTGATAAACCTTCACCAGAGGCCTGTTGAGCTTCTCTCTGGACAGAAGATCGCCGCTGTACTCTGGACCCTGTGAGCAGGACAGCGTGAGCCAAACGTTTTCATGAAATCTCAAATAAACACGCTCCACACGCTCTCTGACCTGTGCTCTGCCGTGGCTGTGACGAATGCAGTTGATCTCCCTCTGCTTACGAAACATGGCCTGCCGGGTGGCTGCAGACGTCAGCGCCAGATTTTGCTACAGAAGACAGAATGATGGTTAAGTATGTGTTATTACTTTAATACAAAAATGCACTTCTGCATTAATTCAGGATCTTTTTACCTGCAGAGTGACTGTCTCTGCAATTTTTTTCACCAGGCCGTCGTTGACAGCGCAATGAGCAGCTTTCTGCCTGCTGATGGCGCTGGTTAGCGTCCGTCTGATGGTTTCTCTCAGTAGCTGCGACTGGTTGACCCTCAGAGAGGACGACTCTGAAGCCTTTTTACACTCTGCAAGAGAAGCAGGAGATATCCTATCCGTCTATTTTAATCCTGAGGACACAGGAGATCTGTTTTAAGATGATGTGCTCTTTCTCTGAGTGTGAGCAGGGACACTGGCTGTGTAGATTAGTGACCACACGCAAAGCAACTAATTCGTTTAATTAAAGATCTGGAGTTTATACTTCTCTGTTTTTAGGATCTTGTTTTGAAAATATATAATTTATGTGTGGTGTAAGAACTGTGCTGTTCTTTTTCTCACTTGTTTCATTGATATTTGGGCAAAATCTGCTCTTATTTCTTATATAATTTCTTAACGAGAGCTTCTCCTTGTCCTGAGTGTACCTGGAGTAAAGGGGCTGATGGGGTCTGTTTTGATAAAGGTCTGAGGTGCAGAGTCATGTCCTCCAGCAGAGCCACTGAGAGGGAGCAGTTCCAGTACTCGAGCCCTCTCACTGGCACAGTCCAGCAGCTGTCTGCTGCTCTCACCCAGGGCCTTAAAGAAGAAGGCAGGAAATAATGCATTAGGACAGCAGCTGGCAGACAAATATATAGGTACGGGTTACTTTGCAGACAGAAAAATGTGGTAAAAAATAACAATAAAAAGTTTCATAAAATAAGATATGTGAGATTTTCAAGTGGGGGGTTTTTCGACTGAAAATGCAAACCACAAACCAATCGTTATTTCACAGTGGCTACATGTATCTTTCTGTCTATGTACATTATTCTTGATTCAGGCTAACAGCACCAGTTATACTCTCTGTTCAGTGCGCTTGCTTGACAACAAACAGCCCATCCAGTTCAGGGGCATTCGGGCCTTTAGCTTATCCCAGCATCCCAGCTCATAAGGCAAATGGTGGAATAGACCCTGAACATGTCCCCGTCTATCACAGGGCCAACACAGAAAGACCTTCATTCAAGCTCACATTCACACATACAGCCTATTCAGAGTCAACAAGCAGTTCTGCTGTGGGGAAAAGCTGCAGCAGCCTAAAGAAACCCATGCAGGCAATCTTTCAATTCTTCATTCAGCTGGTCGAGGCATCAACAGCCTGGATACGCAGCAGAGTTTCAGTAACCCAGTAAACATAAAGATGTTAAGTTTAGCAACCTCAAAGATATATGCTACATGGCTGTTACTTCCTGTTACTCATCCCCTGAAATGCCTGAGCTTTAACTTAAAGGAACAGTTCACCTCAAAAGTGAATTTACATGTTTCCTCTGGACTGTAGTTCTAACCAACAAGATTGGACAACTCACTCTAAAACAGACACATCACCGTACCATCTTATCAGTGGGTCTATGCCTTTTCCTGAATATAATGCAACCTAATGGCACTCGCCTTTTGGTCTTCAAAGAACCAAAACAAAGGAACTACTTTTTTTCTACTATCTACATCCACCAAACTTCTAGTCACAAAACTTCTCACAAGTTTTTTGGATTTTTAAATGTGTTAAATTTAAGAGAATTCACTCGTCTCACATCGGAACAGTTTAGGTGGATAAGCTGTCCCTATAAATCCAGCAACAACAAAATCTAAAGAAGAAGGGTGGAGGTTAGTGATACCTGAGCATTGTTGTTTTTCTAACCTCTCTCATGCCTGTGAGGGTAGAGTGGAGGGAAAACAAGTCAAGCGATGAAGACAGAGGGCTGAAATCACCTGAAGCTGGCTCAGTGTGGTTTTCAGTGTTCCCTCCAGATCCTGTTTCAGCTCAGCCAGCTCTCTCCTCTCCCACAGCAGCAAGTAATCAGCACCATCTCTCTCCTGCAAAGGGGCAGACCTGTCAGGGCCTCAGTCTACAGCTCTGAACTTCATCAAATAATCCTTGGTGCTGGATTAACTCTCAGTGATACTGGAGGTAATAAAGATTTAATGCTGTATGTGTGTGAGGCAAGCAGGCAAGTTTTTGCACTTGAAATCCTGAAAATGATCCTGAGGTGCCGGGCAGAAAATACTTCACCACGGTTGAGCATCTTTAACACCAAATACAGAAGAATTTCAGCATTTTCAGTGTTGTGTAAGCTTGCCGTCTCAGTGGTGGATGGCCTCCTGGTTCTCCCCTCCGAGCTCTTCTGGTTGATGGTCAGATTGGTCCTAAGACTGCGCAGCATCCTCTCCAGATGTCCTCGCTCTCTCTCCAGCTTGACACCTTCCTCGGTCACTCTGCCAGCCTGCCTGCGCAGCTGGACCTCCACCTCCCGAACTCTGCGCATGTAGTCAGCAACTACAGCAACACTGGCTCCGGCACACTGCTCACGCAGGCTGGAAGGTGGGAACGGGGCCACAGGTGTCCTCTGAGAGCCACCAGGGAACTTTAAAAAAAGCTCAATGTCTGAGTCCAATACTCAAAAACATCAGTCAACTTAAAAATGCAGAAGATGAAAATCTAAATAAAAACAAGTGAAGGCTTTTAATATAGGAAGAGTTCGAAAATAAAGGTGTTTTAAGTCTTAAAATGTCTCAGAGATGAGAGTCTTAAATGAATTTAGCTCTGCCTCTACCAACAAGTGTAAAATATTGCTGATTTATAAAGCTGTACTTTCCTCCGTGGGCTTTTCATTGCTCTGCAGTGTTCTGTAAAGAATGTTTCAGTCTGTTTATCTCCTAAAACATCTCATCCTGGCTCCCTACGAGCTGAGATTCCAACCTTTTCAGGCTCATACCCCATAAATTTAACGTCTGCATGCCACTGGACTGTTGAGCTCACAATGCCCAACACCACAGGATGAGGGCATGGATAGGGTGAGCAGTGGAATGTAGTAGCAGCAGTTTAGTAGATTTACTTAAATACTTTGCTGATTCAGTTTTAATAGACTTTAAGTATTTCTCTGTGATTCTGTTTTTAGATGCTTTAATCCTGGAAGCAAATACTCCACATCTGTGTGCACCACACCGTTATTTTTGCTTTGCAGATTTTAAATCTATGAATATGTATAATGCTGTATTAATGTAGATCTCCAGTGTGTTAATGCATCGTGAGTAATTTTAATTGAGGTACTTTTAGTATATTTTGATGCTAAAACAGTTGCTCGTGCTGGGTTATGACAGAATTAAAGAGACTGATTAAGTCTTTTATTCTTAGTTATTCTGGTCTGTTATCACATTGGATGTTGTATGCATGTGTATATGTATACATGTATTTATGTCCACGTGCATACCTGTGTGTGTATACGTATATGCATCTATATGTTTGTGTACATATATACTTGTATAGACAAGTGTATATAAGAGTCTGCTTATGTGTATATATATATGGATTTTTTGGATCTTCTTTACTTCCTTTATCTTAATTCCTTTTTTTTATTCCACGTCCCTCTGTTCAGCACTCTGTCCGATACTTGACGTCTTTTAAATTTGCTCTACAAATAAAGCTGCCTTGACTAAACTACAGAGCAAAACAGTTATTCATTATTATTCAATATGAAATGAAGCTTAAACTCTTGTGCAGTTTTCATATGGATTCCTGTAACTGTGAACGCTAGTTTAGAATAGTTTACATATATTTACTTTTAAAATCTATAACTTCAGGCTTTCACACCACCCTGGCACGCTGTGGATCGTTTGTCTCACCATGGCTCCTGCACTTTGGGGTCTTGATATCTTCTTGTTGCAGACGCAGTCACGACTCCTCGGTCTGCACGCCTCCGCTCTTATCTTATCTCTGGCTGTGACTTCCGCTGTGCCGTCTGAGCGCTTTAGGCTTACTCCTGCAGCGGCGCTGCTGCTGCCGCTCCGGGGCTGGCTGCACGCAGCGGGCTGCCCGGCTCGAGTCTGCCGGACCAGGCGCTCAGCACGCCGAATGGAGCGGACCGTACCCTCGCGCCAGGACTGCGGTCCGATGGTAACAGAGCCGAGGGGAACCGACTGAACCTGCATCACTATGCTATGAACTGGCCTCATCTGTGACTGCTACCAAGTATCCAGGGTGAAAACTTTGTGTCATCTCCATAGCAACAGCAACTAAAGTAACTAGAAACTCCAAGCCGTTTGGTGATTGGAGAGAAAATGGAACAGGACACGCAGCACTCAGTGTGATCTCCCCCTTCAACTTTCACAGAAACTCTTAAATGACTGAAACACAGCTGTGGCGCATCAGTGCTCCTCTCTACTTCGTATCTGGTTCTTTAAAGGAAGGCGAGGACTGATAGTTTACTTAAAAACAAGACAAAACTAGAAGAGATGTGAGATTTCTGCAACAGGTGGGGATGGAAGTCTACAGCTTTAAGGCTCATGCTTTTAAAGCTTCAGGAGGAGGAAGTCAGGAGCTCTGTGAATGTGCGTGTTTTTAAATATAAAATCTGACTGAAATTCAAATTTAACTTAGACAGTGCTTTAAACCTGCGTTCTCTATAATGACCAGCAGGGGTCGACTCCCTGAAGTCTCATCTACATCAGAGTAAAGTGGAAAATAAAGCAGTCTGCTTTAGCTTGTGCGACTTTGTGACTGACAGCACTGAATCACTCCTGTTGCATTACTGTAAATCAAAGTGTGCACTTTCCCACAATGAGAGACTCGTGCTCACGACAGTCTGACAGCATCTAAACATTAAAGCCGTCCCTCTTGGTTGAGCTGTAATGTTAGACGCACACTTCTCAGGGTTGGTGGAACTGCTCACGTTAGGTTTGGGAATTTTTCTTCCAAGTAACTGCCTCGTGAACTTTAAGAGAGACATTGCTGCCGAGTTTTTCAAACATGTGGTTTGCTGCTTTGATTACCATGGAGTGTGAACTGTTTACTTACATTATATTAAAGTGAAGGATCACTACTGCAGAGCAGTCCAAAGGTAAACAGATTGAACTTTAATTCTGGAGTGAAATGTCCCTTTAAGAAAGAACAAGTTGAAATGCAGTTTAAAATAACAAGAACTGCAGACTGAACTTATTTGGATCAGAGTTTTTAATCCTCTTGAGCTAAAAGGCAAAAAATGGGGGAAAACAATGTCTCAGTTCCCGACCAACAATACGAGACATGTAAACATTAAAGATGGTTGAAAATAATTCCAGAAAAATAGAAAGCGAGACAAAGAAAAATGGAAAATTAAAACCGTTAAAAACATTTCTTTGGTTGCACGTTTCCACTTAAAGCGTGACATCAGCACTGTAAACAGCAACTAGGCAGTTCTGTACTAAGGAAAAAGATGAATACAAGACGCCACCATAAAGAGTTTTAAAGATTATAATTAGCCCCCCCCCCCCTCCGAAAAAAAACACCTTTTAAAGCAATATTGTGCCCCCTCCTGTCCTAAAGGACAATCACACCATTCAGAAATGTTCCCGCTGCATGAAACGATCTCACTGCCTAAACCCGTTACATTCAAAATCACATTTATACAGTAATCTGCTCGTATCTGAATCAAGTATTAAACATCCAGCCACAAGAGGACACACCAAACATTTCCCCTTCCAGAAAACAATCACACCATCTCACTCACTCCACAGAGAAAAGTAGCTTCTTTCCTTCAAGTCTCATTAATCTGCGAAGATAAATATAAATAGACTTAATGTACACCAAGATAAATATGCTCAGGAGGCAGAAAGGAGGTGCGGAAAGTGCAAAGTGCTCCTCCGTCTTTGTGCAGTGAGTTTGCATGGCGTCGGTGCAGTGTGTCAGCCCGGCTCCTCCTCCTCCTCCATCACAGTGTGTGTTTGACGGCCGTCAAAGGCTCACGTTTGTTCTGCAGGTTCTGCTGCAGCTCTCTGAACAGATGGTCCCGCTCCTCAGCATCCAAAAGGATTTGCTTTAAAAAGAAAAGCACTCATAAGTACAGCGAGTTCATTGTTAGTTCTGTACTCCTCCTACTGCGAACAACAACACTGAAGACAACTTAACCAAGAAGTAATATTTGAATTCAAGTGGTAAGCAAAAAACAAAAACCACGTGTCTGAGCTTAACAATTCTTCTCGCGGTTTGGAAACACGAACAGAAAGGTTCATAAGTTCGAGAAGTTCCTAAATCAGTGCAGTGTTTCCATACTTTCTGTGATATTTTGATCAAAACGAAGCCTAAAGAACGCAACAAAGAACAGATTCTTTACTGCAGTCGTGTGAGGAGTCTACCAGCAGATGTAAGCAGCGGTGCTTTCCACTACAAATCTTAGGCCCTGTATCAGGTGCTCTGTCTTCACATATATGACAGCAAGGATACACACAAACACTGGCACTCACTCACTCACTTCTTATTTGCCCAACAATAAATATTAAAGAAACATCAAGTATCGGTATTATTATCAAAGAGAGCAGATGGGGCACTGAAAGAGTCCTGAACAGAAATCTATGGGTGGATTCAACAAACATGGCCTCCAATCAAGCTGCCAGGTGCATAAAGTGGTTCAGCGCTCTCATTGGCTGAGCAAAAACGCTGACAGTGTTGGTACTGAGCTGTTAATGAAGCTCAAATGTTCTGAGACACTGGCATGTGCAGCACAAGTGCATCTTCCTGGGGATGAAAAGCTTTTTAATCTTTATTTTGACCCAGATGCTAAATATTTTAAAGCTTTTGTTATTATTTGAGGCGTTCAGAGTAGCTGCCTAAAATGCTGCAGAGTGGCACGAATTGCTTCTTTACCTCGATGAGTTTGTCCCTCTTCTCCAGGCTGTCCCTGAGTCTCCTCTCGCCCCGCTCTCTGTCCTCCCTGTCGTTCTGCAGCGCTCGGTCCGCCTCCTTCTTCTTCTCCTCCTTCTCCCTCAGCTCCTGCCGAGCGTCTCTGAGCTGAGCCGTCAGAGAGGACACCGTCCGACTGTGACTCTCCTGCTGACTCTGGAGAAAAAGCAGAATGAACGGCTCAGATTTGTTGTGGCTGTGATGTGGAACTTTAGGGTCACAAACCGGAGGCAGCTTATGGCGATGATTTCATTTTAAATTTCAGTGTGGTTTTCCAGCCAGCACTGATTAGAAGCAATTTCTAAAAAACGAAGCACCACATTGTTTTGGAAGAGCAGCATTTTTACTGGTTAGATTATTCAGTTATTCCATTTTTTACATTTCCTGTCATTTCTGTAAATCACTTGCTCTAACCTGTAGGAAAGGTACATTCAAAAGAAGTTTAACCGCTCGATCAGAGAAGCTGGGACTTAATTATTTTTCACATTATTTTTGGTACATTAAAAGTTTACAATTTAATATTTTTCCCTGTATTTTCAAAAGTTTCTGTCTTATAATCTATTATAAACTATGAATGTGTGTTTGAATGCAGACTTATTAGGTAAAAGTGGAAATTCATCACAAACTCAGCTGCTTTTTGCTTTTTCAGTTTTCTAATTCACTTGAAATAATTAACTCTTCTGGCCGGGCTAATCTCCCACCTGCACCATGTCCTGGTATTCCTGCAGGGTCGTTGTAAGCTTGGTGACCTCCTGGCACAAGGTGGCGCTGCTTTCCTCTTGATCCTTCAACATAGCTGCCAGTTCAGCCCCGCCCCCTCCTGACTGCTGGCCAGTCACAGAATCTGAGAGAGCCTGGAAGAAAATGACACGTTTCTACTTACTGAAGTCAGTATTTACTGACAAACCTCAGCTTAGCCGTACAGAGGGAGGAATGCAGAGTTCATCCAGTCACACAGAGGAAAAAACAACAACATGTCGTATCCTAATAATACGAGAGACATGGCACTAAAAAGATCCTGACTTTAAATCTGGGGGAGAATACAGAAACATAAAAATGCTGATGGAAGTAAAACTTGCAGGGGAACCTTTCCAACTAGTTTTAATCACATCTGACTGATGCTCCTCATAGAAGCAGCTTAGGTTATTAGTCAAAGTTAACTCAGATAACTGCCCACCAGTGCATGGAGGCATTGCCCAGCGTTTCCCGGGGACTAAATAAGCACACAGACAGGCTCATAATTATACTGTTAGCACACTAATGACTGGTGGGTGTGTTTGTGTTCATGTGCATGCTAAATACAGGCGAAGCTTTTTCATTATAGTGATTAAATTCAATAAATTCAATTCATAATCTAATTCTAACCCAGAGAAACCAATCTAGCTCACTTTCTAGATTTGCTGATGCTACTTGCAGGTTCATTCTGTCTGTGCACAATGACTTCCTGTCTAGTGCCAGGTGGTTCCTGTCTCTCTGCATACAGCTCCAACAAACCTCCAATAAAGAGAGATGTGAGATTTGCTCTCAAAGCACTGAAGCATCAGCAGACTACAGCGAGCCTCAACAGTTAAGGAGGGCGCGGCTACTTTAGGGGTTTTTCTGCCCTGCTTCTGTGAGTGCTGTGCAAAAACATTTATATATCTCGTGTTTTACGGCCACAGGACAGTAAAAGGAGAAGCTTCAGAGAGGTTTGTTTGGCTGCAGGTGTATTACCTCCATCCCTTTCTCCAGTTGCTCTTTGAAGGTGCGGATGAGAGCCTCCTTCTCCTGCAGGACAGCAGTGAGGGCCCCGTCTCTCTGCCTCCACAATTCCCTCTCTTTCTCCACCTCCTTCAGCAGTTGCTCCTTCTCTCCCAGAGCCACCCGCAGGTCCTGAGTCAAAAACAGAGAGAGCTTCAAGTACATGCAGCGCGACTAAAGTGCTGAGCGTGCGGTTGTGTTTTGCGTTTAATTGCGAGTATTTGAATTAAATAAAGTAACCAGATAAACAGATCAGTATGTGTGCAATGTATGAATGAGCATGCCTGCAAAATAAACAGCATGAGAGGAGCTGACAGGATTGTTTTATATTCCCCGAGTTGTCCTGCATCTCTAACCTCGTATCAAAAAGAAATAGAGTCACAGCCAAACAGGAGACCACCCCTGTGGCAGTGTGTGGTCTTACACTGATGATGTCCTGGTTGCACTGCAGCACAGTGTTGAGGGTGTCCAAGTCTCTCTCTCGGTCTCGTCCAGCCTTCCTCAGAGCCTCGATCTCCTTCTCCGTGCTCTTCTCTTTTTCAGTTATTTCAGACCTCAGAGCCTCCAGCGCAGCCTGAAGATCAGAAAATGAAACAATCAGCTTATCGACAGAAAATAAACAGAATTTTGAACTCAATAAAAAGTGTCCATCACAGGACTTCCACCCTTTCAGGGACACGAGAGCTCAGTTTGCTGACTACCAGCAAAAATGCGCCTGCTGGGGCTGACAACCGCCGTGCTTCAGTGAGCGGGTAACATGTGTCGTCATAAGCAGAGCAAGCTTTGCTATAATGTCAACAATCAGCACGAGAATGACAGACAGCGCAGCTCTAACCTTGTTGTCAGAGATAATCTCTCTCAAGTTCTCAGTCAGCTTGTTGGCCAGCTCAGTCCCTGCTCCCTCCTCCACACACAGCCTGCTGATCAGACTCGTGCACTCCTGGAAGACAGGAAATATCTGTCTGTGAACACATTCGTGAACATTTTACCTGCGTTTTCTGGATGTTAAATGATTGAAATCCTTTCTAAACGAGGATTACAGCGAGCTTTT